CCACAGTCCCCCAGTTTCTTAATGAGAATGGGGTGAGAGACAGTGTCGAAGGCCTTCCTAAAGTCCATAAAGACTACGCCCACCAATACCATTTTTATTTTTAGAGGAAAAAAACATACTTCTCTCTAAATACAGTTCATCTATTAACCATAACTAATATTGTTACAAGTATGATCATCATAATCAAAAGAGATTAGAAAAAAAATCTTTTGGCAAAGAGGACTCAGAGGCAGGAATTATAGCATCGAAAGCCACTCTTAATTCTTTATTTGAAACTGATGGGATTTCAAAATGGCAGTGTCCCTTTAAATATGTTAATCCTTCCTAGTAAATACATCCCTCCAGACTACAGATCATTTCTTCTGCAATGCTAAAAACTCCCCCCAGTTTCTCAGTATCTCACTTTCTGGTAATGTACTGCCAAAAACGGCACGCAGTATTCTAAGTGCAATGACAAAAGAACCAGGGAGCTAGACTGTTATTTCCTTCTTCATAATATGATGTTTTTATCCATATAGCCCAAACTTGCACTGACATTTTTTTTGGTAGCTGTTTCACATTGCAAATTCATGAATCCTCTTCTGTAGTCAGTTATCACCAAAGATTTCTTTCACATTTGTTACTTCCCAGGTTTCTTTCCTTCCATGAGTACACCAGCTTTGGATTATTTCCCCCAAAATATATTAGCATGAATTTTGCCAAAGTGGATTTTTCTTTTCTTTTTATGCTGCTATTCAGGGAGATTCTTTTGAAGTATTTTTCTAGTCTCGCAGGTGTTCACACTCCTCCCAATTTAATATCAACTGTGAATTTCATTAAGGATTTGTTCTTAGTTAAAAATGTTAAATAACCTCAGCCTAACAGATCTGTTCATCACTAGGCTTTTCGTAACTCAGTGCCCTGCTATTTATCATTACCTTTTATTTTCAGTCTATATTGATGGCTACTTTTCAAGTCTCTCAGTGTTCCTAACCTGTCTGGCATTTTCATTTAATATTTTGAGATTGTATCAAATGCATCGCTAAAATCTGGATATGTCACATGCATTGCATTCCACCATTAATCTTGTGATCATGCCCAAAAAGTCATTCATCTGATAAAATATGTATTTTATAAACCCGAACTTCCCATTGCTGAAGATTCTCATTTTCTTCAGTTTTTCATGGTTTGCAGTTTCTCTTATAATTGTTCCATTATTTAAAGGAAGAAATTAGACTTTATAGCTAATTTCTACATTTAAACTTTTGTATCATGGCTGAGTTTTCAAAAGCTGTTTAGGGGATTGAGGGACCAAATTCCCATTAATGTAACTACATGAATTACACCTGTAAATGTAGACCCATGGCACATATTTCCAGATGGTATAGGATCGTCTACATCATGTCTGGGGGTATACAGGCAGCTTCTCAAAGCTGTTCCCTAGCTGCTGTCCACTGAGTTTTCACAAGGTGAAGGGGAGGGCCTTTTGCTGGCTTTCCATATGAGTAGTGAAATTCACTAAGCCATCAAAGAACAGAATGAAACCTAAATACGGAAGCAGAAATTAGAGCTTCACACCTTTCTTTTAAGGACTTACATGAAAATCCAGAGACACTGTGTAAGCTCTATAAGCTTGTGAGTGCACATATTGTAAATTAGGTCAGTATCCCATAGAAAAACTATAGTAGATTTAGTAAGAATTATCTGAAAATGCGTTAACATTCTTTCTCACTCCCATTTTTCAATGCAAGTTGTCAGTCTAAGAATACACTTAGAATAACTCTGTCATTGTGTAGAATAACTCGTGTCACATTGTGTTGTGTGTCTAGGCAGAGTAGTTTCTAATGCAAATGTTCTCAGCCAGGGTGCCCTGGCACCCAGGGGTGCCATAAGATCATTTTAAGGGTGTCATGTAGTCCTATGCAATATTAGCACTGTTAGGTGTGCAAACACCCATGTGAGATTTGCAAGATAAACCCAGCAATTCCAAACAGAAATCCCCAATAGCAAAAATTAGTCAGCCCTGTTGTATTCTTTCTGATCTTTTTACAACAGAAAAATTGCTCTATTATTTTTCTGTATTCAAAAAACAAGTGAAAGCTAAAATGTGGCATTTTTCAAGGACTGTCTTGAATTTAATGGCAGGTGTCTTGAGCCTAGAAAGACTGAGAACCACAATTCTAATGGAATGCTATTAGAAGAGCCCAGGACCACATATGGGAATACAGCTCCCAATTTCGGCACACTGTGAAACAGAGCAGAATTCCATGAAGTGCTTACAGATTGACTGATGCTCAGAAGTCAGTTATAAATCAGTAACATTGCTTGAAACACTAATGTCGATTGTCAAAATGGGAGGTGTTCCTCTTCCAAAATGATAGGATAAATTTGAAAGAGGCTGAGTCCTTTCCTCTGAGTCTAGTTCTTTGTAACACTGATGGAGAGTTGGGGAGCTTTCCTCCCCACAGTCCCACCTAACATTGTGAAAAAAGAGATAGTATTATATTATGTAGTAAGTGATCCTTAGTATTCTACCCAGCACTGAAAGCTAATGCACCTTGGATCATGTTGATTCATTGCTTCCACGCTGACACCCTTCACCACCTACACGCAGAAGATTTCTCCTTATTGGCTGGGTACGTGACAAATACTTAAGTAGCTGCAGTAAATAAGGCTAAGTTCAGACACTGGAGGACATTAGGGGAAGGTCATCTGGTTAAAATGGCTGCCCAAACTAATATAATTTGCCTAGGTGCAGACCTTACACTTGTAGACCTGGTCTCAATGATTGGAAATCAACCTAACCCTGTAATGGTACAGAAGTTCCACATGCAAAGACTGAAATAAAAATGGTGGAACCTGGTCTAAGATAGACCTGGATCAATGTAGTATCAATCTTACTCAATCTAGGTTAGACTGGTGCATGGAACTTCTGTACAGTTACCTGTGCAGCCCTAGGGCTGGAAAAACCCATCTTCTTACCCCAGCTCCGGAGGCTGCACTTTCCTTACCCACCAACCGCACCATCCCGGGCTGCGAGAGCCAGCTGCGACCTGTCATCGTCATCACTGATGAAGAGGCCAAGAAGGTCGTGATCGTGGACGTCACCATCCCCTTCAAGAACTGGCGCCAAGCCTTCACTGACGCCTGGGCTCACAAGCGGGAGAAGTACACCCCGCTGGCCGACACCCTGAGGGGCCGCGGCTACGACATGACAGTTGACACACTCATCGTGGGAATGCTTGGAGCCTGGGATCCCAGCAACGAGAGCATCCTGCGTGCCTGCCACGTCTCCCGCCGCTACACCAAGCTGATGCGCTGCCTCATGGTGTCCGACACTATCCGTTGGTCCCGCGACATCTACGTGGAACACATCACGGGCCACCTCCAGTACTCCGACTCCACCAGACAAGCTGCCACCGCACCAGACCCGGAGGGCACCGCCTGAACCGCCCCCCCCTTCACTTCACTCTGAGAGGATTCTTCGACCACAGATGACCCTGCTCCACTCGAAGAGGACCCCTGCGATGAGACTATATGGACTGAGACACTTCCTCCGAACCACTTCC